ATTATTTTATTAAATTATCATAAATTCTATTGGTTGGTAAACAAGTCATCTCTCTACCTAACACACCTCGTACATTTCTCTCCATCAGAAAGTAAAGAAATTTCAAGGGATTAGAGAGAAACTCCATCTCTTTAAGATCAAATTTCTTCAAGATCAAATTTGTTCATCATGAATACAGGTATGCGTCACTTTACTTTATATATGTAAAAATTATGACTTTAAAAGATCTTGGCTACTATGTTTTTTTTTTAAATTTATGTCATAAAGTTCAAAAATAAATTTTCTAACATGTATGACCCTTTTTGCATGACCTTAAAGAAGCATTTATCACAAATCGAATGCCTAGCCAACATCTTTCTAATGCGAGCGTAATCTCATACCCATCGGCCGAAATCCCTAACAGTTTTTATCTGTCGCAAGCGAGATCTCACCTCACCGACAGATTTCAAACAACCACCGACATTCTCAAATATCTCCTCTATGTTTGCCATCTCGTCTCTTGCTTTCTCTTGATTGCCCATAGATTTCGCTATCTTCCCGACCTCACCATCCGACCGACCTCACCGTCCGACCGACTCATCATATGGTCCTTCCTCTCCTCTCTTACTCGAAACCACGAAGGAAGCAAACCACTTCTATCGCATACCATACACCGATCTACAACCTCACCAACCGACCGCCATCCCATCGGTCGGTTCTCAAAGATTTCTGTTACTATTCTCTCCCCACACGTCCAATTCCCCGTCGATCGCTGCGAGCTAAATGCCTCTCCACCGACCGATTTAAGCTGCCTGACAATCATCGTGATGCCGTCCACATGCTTTTTTTTCTCTGCCAGGCACCAGACTTCAACACCCGGTCCACAGTCAGTGAAATCCTCCAGCCCTTCTTTTACTTCGAACCAACTACCAACTTTTGGCTGACCATATTTTATCGACCGTCTACCTGTATCCTGCCGACCGTCCTCGTTCCTACTCAAAACTGTGGAGGAAGCTTGAATCTAGTGTCATTAAATCTGCGGCTTTCTTTTATCCAAACCGACAGCCTGACAGAAGCTAAAACAAGAAAGATTTACATACCTATCACTCCACTTTTATGTTTTTATGTGCACGTACATACCACTTAACTCTTATTCTTATATGTCTACAAGTCACTTAATTTGTATGTGCATCCTGAGGTTACCTGTCGACCGACCACATACATGTCAACTGACCACCTCTGCTATAGTCAACCACTCATTAGTCAATTTTCTTAGAATAAAATTAAAATAAAGTTGAAGAAAGAAAGATTTACGTACGTACAACTCACTTATTTCAAAATCACGAAATATATAAATCAATAAACTATAAGAGATTTCAAAAGAAACATTTTTATCTAATATTTTAAATAAATACTGTAGTCACCCTATTACATTATAAATTTAAAACTATTTTTGTTTTAAATATCTAGAAATTTATCGTATGCCATTTGAAAGGAGCATAAGCCCACAAAGGATTTACCCTACAGTCTTTAAGCTTAGGAGTTGGCGAGCTCAACAAATTCATGCATAACTTAAAGACTCCCTCAGGGGTGAACGTCTCTAAGACCCCTTTTCGGGGCAAGCAAGACCCTCTTTTGGGGCAAGTAACTCTAAGACCCCCTTTTTGTGGTAAGCAGCTCCAAGACTCCTGTCCGGGGTGAGCAACTCTAAAACTCTCTCTAACGACCGACTGTCTCTTTGACGACCGACCCTCTCTCTGACGACTGACTTCTTGGTCGACAATCTCCCCCTGATAGCAAAAAAATTCAGAATAACATACTTAGCGAATGAAAATAAAAATACCAAAACTAAGTGCAAAAAGCACCTAGCAAGAAATATCATTACCAAACAATGTATTAAAAATTTATTTGATTTATAAATTTCTTTGTCTTTATTGCATCTAGGGCTATCAAGAAATAAGAAAATTGAGGCACTTAATGTGTAAACTAAAACAAGGTATGCATAAATCTCAAGACAAATATGATAGTCGAGGATAAAGAGGTTGAAATACCCACACTGTTCTCTCTAAAACAACGCTAAATATGTAATTTTTTATATTTTCTACGCCTCATATTTTTTATAAATGGGAAGGCTTTATGATGAATAGGGGGAAATGAAACCCGTTAGGGAAAGTCTTCCTCTTCTCTTTCTTTTCTCTCCATCTCTCAATCTTTTTCCCTTGGTCCAATGCTTTGGATTCAACAATTGTAAAAAAAAATTAAATTGGGTCATGGAACATAAATTTCTATGATGTTTCAGGCCTCATAATAGATTATTGGAGATCCTTTTTTTTTTATCAGCAAGACATTTCTCTTCTAATATATTACGAAATTAATGCAAGATGAAAAATACCCGGAGAGAAAAGCACACATATCTATGTGACCATTTAAGATGAAAAAGCTAAGGGGTACTTACATGCATACCACATAATTTTTATATATTTACACATCTAATCTCTAAATATTCATATTTACATGCATATCACTAAAATATTTTTCATCACATTAAAAATATCTTCATTATCATCTTTTATTCTTTTAAATGAATTACACCATTTTATGTATAATTTGATGACACCAAAATGTTATAAGTTAGAATTAAACATCGGGCGTTAGAAATGTTAATACATAAAAATTGTACATGCATGTAAATTTCTCAAAGAGAAAAAAAAAACAATTTTCACACCCAAACTTCTATATTTACATAAAAAATAAAAAAAGCACTTTTTCTAACTTTTGTTAATGGATTCCATCGGCGAATCCCCCTCCTCTGCTCCAGCCACCATCCAGATGAATGAAAGACAAAGACGACAATGTCGGTAACGACCTATCTGCAACAGGAAAAATACTACATCCGGACTCCTAATGTAGAGCTACGTTTGGATTGGAATATTCGGCTGCTTTACGGGAATATTCCATCCGCGTTATTTGTAAAACTGATGTGTTATTCAAGTATTATATGGTGTTATTCAATTATTTTTGCGGTGTTATTGAAATATTTCCCTGCGTTACTTGATTTGGGGCTATGTTATTCGACATATTCCCTGTGTTATTTTAATTTTTATTATGTTATTGGAATAACACAAACCCAAATCAAGTAATGCGAGGAAATATTCCAACAACATTTTAGCCCCAAATCAAGTAACGCGCCGGAATATTCCAATAACACCGCAAAATAATCGAATAACACCATATAATACTCGAATAACACATTATTTTTACAAATAACACAAATGAAATATTCCCGTAACACAGACGAATATTCTAATCCGAACGTAGCTCTACGTCAGGAGTCTTGATGTAATATTTTTTCGGTATGCAAAATCTACAACACCAATGCTTAATTAAAGTTATATATATTTATAGTTAGTCTATTATCAAGTCCAATAAATTTAAACTTGGGCTTCCTATTTATTCAAATCGATCCTTCTCTATCAAATTATGTTTTTTTTTCATCTTGCTGGATCTCATGGAGGAGGAGGACGACGTCTTTTGGTCATCCTAGCAGTATGTCATGGACAAAAAGTCTCGCATCGGTAAGGTGTAGGGTCAAAAAGCTGTATGTAAGTACTAGGCTGCCCACCACCTCAAAGAATTCTTTTGGGAGGTGATAAGTGGTATCAGAGCAAATTACTGCTTGCCAGGTGTGTAGACTCTCCATTGTTTAATGAGACCCTTGATGGAGCTGATTCGTGACGAGGGCGTCACGTGATTAGGTGGAGGAGAATGTCACAGACAAAAAGTCCCACATCGGCTAGATGTAGGGCCGAAAAGCAGTATTTAAGTCCCGAGCTACCCATCACCCGTAAGAGCTCTTTTGGGAGGTGACAACTAGCTCTTAAATTTTTCAAATTAGCAAAAGTAGTGCGCAAAAAAAGTGTTCCAGTGGGACCCTCGTTGGAGCCAATTCTTAACAAGGGCCTGATGTGATTGGGTAGTGGAGAATGTCACGGACAAAAAGTCCCACATCGGCTAGGTGTAGGGTTGAAAAGCTGTATTTAAGTTCTGGGCTGTCCACCATCCCGAAGAGCTCTTTTGGGAGGTGATAGGTAGCTAGCATAGAGGAGAGTGGTTCCCCAATAGAATCAATTAAAGAAAGTTAGAAAAAATCTTTTTTTTAATAAATATAGAAGTTTGGGTGTAAAATATATTAATAGGTGTGTTTTTAGTGTTATGTATGTCAAAACCCAAAAAACAAAAGAGTATTATAATACATACCCTCCAATTTTTTTATATTTATTTGTACACAAAAAACCTATCAATGCGGATTTAAAAGAAATCCAACGAATCCAAAAGCTTGTTGGCAACTGAAGGCAAGCTAGTCTAGGAGTCAGAGAATAGACGAGATGCATCTAGCAAATATCACTAAGGTGACTGACTAGCTCTATTTTGAACGACATCACCAGCTACATCCCACCAGCATTGTTGTGATAATCGACTAAAAACCCTCAGGTCATCTGTAGGCCAGATTGTCCGAACAAAATAGACAGTTGCGAAGATCAGCCATCTCATCCCACCAATCATTTCTTCAAGTTAAGGACTTTAAGATATTTCTGGGTCCCGCCGAAGCCAAATATCTATAATATCATGTACAATCTCTATTCAAGTAGGGACTTTTATGTAATTTCAAGGGTCATGCCTCCTCTATCTATAAATAGGAGGATATGAGAGAAAAAGGGTAGCACAATCATTACCAAAGAGTCGAGA